CCCCAAAACCCCAAAACCCCAAAACCCCAAAACCCCGAAGCTTTTTAGATTAATTGCAATAAAGTTTTAAGATATTTCGTGAGTAATTATTACATAATTATTATCAAATTCAGTATATATAAATCTATGGCTGAGGCAAAGACGTAAGCATAGAGTAAAGGAGCCGCTAGTAAATTCGAGGCTGATATGGGAAATAATTTAGAGGAGGAATTAATTGATAATGAACTAAATCCATTTTTAAAATCTAATAACGATACAATGGGTATCACTGAAATCCAAGTAGAAAAATGGAAACCTCCAAGATTACATTCATATGAGACAATGGGATTGGCTGATAGTCAGCTTAACTGCAAAATCAGACCTTGCGGTTTCAGAACTAATGGTAAAATGAGAAAAATTAAAAACACTTGCTTGATATCAAAAGTCAAAACTAGATGTAGACTTAGAGGCAAGAATCCAAAGCTAGCTGTTTGTATTACTATGTATAATGAGAACGAGTAGGAACTTAAAGATACTCTGAAGGGAGTGCTCTCAAACTATAATGAACTGAGATTGGATAAGAGTCTTGACTTCAAGAAAGAAGATTTTATCGTGTTCTTGATTTGCGATGGTTATTAGGCTATTCCAGAGTCATTTAAGTAATATGCAACCCAGCATCAGTTCTTTGACCTTGATGTATTGTGGCAAAAAGGATTTATGGACAAGGACAGAGATGGAAAGATAAAAATGAAGGATATGAGAGATCTGATGTTGCCTGGTGCTAAGGTGCCACTCAATTGCATTCACATGTTCTAAGTTCAGACCTGGGACTTTGGACTTTAAGATGATAACTTGAAGAGCAGAAGAATTAACTTTGTCTTTGCTATTAAACAGAGAAATGATGGTAAAATTAACTCCCACAAATGGTTCTTCCAAGGCTTGTGTAAATTCCTTAAACCTGAACTTTGTCTTATGCTCGATATTGGTACAAGAGCTGATAAGCACGCCATTTACAAGCTATATAAATATATGCTAAAGCATCAACATTGTGGCGGTTGTTGTGGTGAAATTGAAGTTGATTTTTCTCAGGACAAAGGTATTTAATCATCTTACTTCATCAAAGCAGCTTAATTCTTTGAATATAAAATGGGACATTCCCCAGATAAAGCATGTGAGAGCTTTTTCGGATTCAACTCGGTGCTTCCAGGAGCTTATTCTTTATTCAGATGGAAGGCTATTAAGGGTGAGCCATTAGATGAGTTCTTCAAGAGTGTTACCAGAGGAGATTTTCCTTCTTGTGCCGAGGCCAATGAGTTCTTGGCTGAAGATAGAGTCATGTGCTTGCAGATTTACATAAAAAAGAATTGCAAGTTCCATCTTGCTTACATTCCAGATGCAAAGTCTTTTACTGATGCACCAGATAGCTTAGCTATTCTTATTAAGCAAAGACGTAGATGGATGAATGGTGCCATGTTCGGTACAGTTAAAGTTATCTCAAACATTATACATATGCTGAGTTGCAGAAGGACAAAGCACTCTTGCCTTAGATAATTTGGCATGGTTTTCTTCTTATTCTACTATACTATTACCTTCTTATTCTAGTTCTTTACAGTTGGATCTATGTATGCTTCTATTACTATCTTCTTGAAGCAATCCTTGGGCAACATGCTTGAGAAATCAGGAGTAAATCCCGATTATGTATCGCTTATTGATACTTTCTTTGACTATTTTTATATCTCACTCGTCATGATGACTATTATCATCTCCTTAACAACTACTGTAGACAGAGGTATTGGAATATTCATATTTTTAATGTGCCTCTTCGGTGTTTTATTGATCAGTACAATGGTCGGCATCCTATCATATTTGGTTCAAACTGGATTCTACCCCTATTAGATGGACTATGACGCTTATAGGACTCCTATGTGGCAAAGAAGCAAGCCTGAGGAGAGGCATTTTTCTATCTTAGTCCTTAGTGGTGTAGTCATGATGACAGTCTTCCTAATTCCAATCATAATGAGACCACTAGATTTCCTTGGAAATGTAAGGAACTATATTATGGGGCTTTTCAGTTACTTATTTATGATGCCTACCTTCATCAACATTATGCAAATCTATGCTATGTGTAATCTCCATGATATCTCTTGGGGTAACAGACCAGCTACCCAGGGAGTGGAAGCTGTTACTTTTAATGTCCAAGCTCAAGAGAAATTGAAGCAAGATTATCAAGTTTTCAGAGCTTATTTCTTATTCTTCTGGCTAGTATGCAATGCTATATTCGGAGGACTTACTGTTTACATTACATCATCTTAAAATTAACAAGTTATTAATGATGGTAAAATTACCTTCATTGATGGATTCGCTCTATTTATTGCCTCTCTTGTCGTCTTTAAGTTCGTATTTGGCTGTATCTATACTATTAAATGGAACTGCAGAAGATGTACTAAATCCTATTACAGAAAAGGAAACTTTGACATTGCTGAAGAGTTTAAGAGACTCAGAAAAGATAGAAAAGGTGCCTACAGCACTGATGAGGATGAAGATGATGATGATGAGTAAAAAGTCTTCGGTTCAAAAGAGACTAACTCAGTGAATAATGTGTTTGACTAAAAAGCTGACGGAAGCATGGCTATAAAGGAAAACCCTGATATCGATGACTCAGACAACGATGATGATGAATTTGACGATGCTGTTGAAGAAGAGCAGCAAGATAAAATTATTGAGTCAATCAAGAGAAGTAGAAAATTAGGTGGAGGTCAGATCCACGTTCAGGACATTGAAGGCAGAGGATCCTCGGCAGATGGAACTGTACTAAGAAGATTTACCAATAACGAAGGTCCTTAAAAATAAGATGGCACAACTGCCAATCCTGATATGGATAGTAAGAACGGCATAATTGAGAGTGTGATATCTTATGATCATGACAATCCCTATGGACAGTCAAGCAGAGGCATTTCTTAGGTAAAGGCTGTAAGATTCGAATTTATAATTAACTTTATATTAGCATAATATTGATGGTGGGAAGTTAACTAAGAATAACAGAGGATCGCAAAACTTTGATCGTGAAGTCAAGTTCAATGTGAATGAGAAGAGTGATATCATCTTACCTGCTTAAAAAAGAATTCTAGACCAGGGCAATAACATTGATGCAAAAAGAGAAAGTAACAACACACCTAAGTTCTCATTAGGTCAAGCCTTTGGTGAAAGTGATGCTGCTAAAGGTAAAAAATCAGTCAGGTTTGATGCACCTTCTAAAAAGCCTGTAGAAAAACAATGACTTTACTAACAATCTAATATCAGATGATATTTATAACATCAATCTTTATTTATTATTCCAATCTAATATTTGCTTAAATTACTCTATTTTTGGCTTTTGGGGTTTTGGGGTTTTGGGGTTTTGGGG